CGTCATTTCCCTCCAACTGTTGACTATTCATGCGATACAGACCACACAACTATTACTTGGGAGCAGATGGGCTCGTCTTCTGCCATCAATACACAAAACAGGCTTGAATCGGCTTGGCCGATGCCTGCGCATCTGCGGCGTCTTTGCATGGGCGACTTCCTCCGCAACGACCATGAGTTTGGAGGCCACAGGCGCAAGAACTTCTCAAGGGTAACCCTAAGATACCAGGGGTGAAAAGGTACGACTTTCGCACACACACACACACACACACACACACACACACACACACACACACACACACACACACACACACACACACACACACACACACACACACCACATCGGAACAATGGGTATGTCCCCACTTGGTACCACCCATTCCAGCAGTTCTCCTTCTCATTTATTTTGGCAAGGCGATAAAAGGACATTGTGCTATTGCTAGGTACATACGAGCAACACACACACACACACACACACACACACACACACACACACACACACACACACACACACACACACACACACACACACACACACACACACACACACACACACACACACAAGAGTGAATCAAGCACGCGTTTCGTCGAGGTGCGATGACGCCGCAGTGAGTTGTTGAACCTCTGATCTCAACCGCAGCTCCAGGCCGCCAAAGTTTGGTCGCCTGGCAGGATCCTCCGCAGAACACTCACTTGCAACGCTCGCCAACCAGGCCAGTGTAGCATCCATGTCGGCAGCATCTGGCGAGTCTGTGGAGGTGGTGTTCCCTGCGGCTGCTGCTGATGACGGAAACTGCAAGCGTTTGCCCTGCCGCAACAGTTCCAGCAAACGTGCCGTGTAGGTGCCTTTGAAGTCTGGGCCAAGCTCCTGCTCAACCAGATCCGGCACGCGTTGCACGGCAATCTCCCACAGCAGCACTCCAAAGCTGAAGACGTCGGCCTTGCCATCGTACTCCTCGCCAGCAAGTACCTCAGGCGCCATGTACAGCGGTGTACCAACACCCGCCGTCAGCGAAGGGTTCAGAGGCGAGGATGCTGTTGGCGCAATTGCTGTCGCTGACGTTGCTGTCACTGCGCTGGTTGACGAAGATGTGAAGTCATGTCCTTTCCTATCCCCTGTGCGTGTTTGCCCCTTTGTCAACACGTCCCGGATGCATCCGAAATCCGAGATTTTGGCCCGAAGCGCGTTTGACACCAGCACGTTGCCGCTCTTAAGGTCTCTGCATATGCGAGTGTGTGTGTGTGTGTGTGTGTGTGTGTGTGTGTGTGTGTGTGTGTGTGTGTGTGTGTGTGTGTGTGTGTGTGAGGGTGGTTGGACAGAGTGAGTTGAGCGAGGCAGCAATACCACCATCATCAATAGCAGACACTGCACAGGCAGACACACACCCACACCACACACCTACACCCATACACCCCCCCACACACACATCTACACACCTGTGCACGTGGCCAAGGCTGTGGACGAAGGCCATGCCACAGGCAATGTCCTGGGCAAGACGAAGCTTGAGCGTCCACACAGCACGTGGTCCGGTGCTGGCAGCGTTGGCGTGCATTTCGCGCGCGCGGATAACCACGGTGTCATGCGTCTCGGCGATGGCCACGCTGCGACGGGCTCCGGTGCTCTGGCCGCTGCTATCGTCACTCGTACTCGGCACAAACAGGGCGCGTGTGTTTGACAGCTGCCGCTCTTTCACCTTGGACAGCAGCACCTGCGCCAAGTCACGCCGCAGCAGCGCCTGCAGCGACCCCATCGCCACAAACTCCAGCACCAGGAACGGGCTGCCATGCGGATCCGTGCCCGCACCGAAGAACCGCACCACGTGCGGGTGCCGTGTCCGCTGCAGGAACTCCACCTCCTTCTCAAACTCCTCGCGTTGCGACTCGTCAAACAGCAGCACGGAGCGCTTGAGCAGTTTCGTGGCCACGGTGAGCTCGTCCCAGCGTGCCAGCCACACCTCCCCAAACGCGCCCTCGGAGTCCTTGTCGATGCGCGTGACGAGGTGCAGCTCCCCAAAGTCAATCTCCCATACCTTCTTCAGCGCCATCACCTCCTCTTCCTTCTCCAGCAGGTGCGAGTACACAGTCTTGTTCTCCACCTCGAGCGTGAGTCGCCGGCGGCGGTAATGCTGATACACCACCGCCAGCACCGCGCCCACCACCATCACAACGCCCATGGAGATGGCAGCAATCTCGCCGCGCGTCAGCTCGTCCGGCACGCACTTGCCGTCGCGCTGCACAAACCGCTGCGCGCACCTGCAGTTGAACTGGAATGTGACCTCCGTGGTGATGTCTGCCCGTGCCTCCCGCGCGCGCGCCTGCGTGTTGCCAAGCTCGAGCGTGCATGACACCTTGCCTGCGTTGATGGTGAGCACGGGGACCCGCGGGTTGTTGGCCAGCGCCACCGCAAAATCCTCCGACCAGAAGCCGGCACGGCTAAGCACGATAGGCGGCGTCTGCACAAGGTGGGCCTGGTTGAGCCACGTGTTTTGGGACAGATCAAGCACGTCCACCTGCGACAGGCAGCGCTGGATGTGTGCACCCACGTCGGCCAGGTCCGCCTTGCGGGAGAGGCGAATTCTGCTTGCGAGCAGGACATGCGTGCCCCACGTGTCGCAGAGTGGCGGCTGGAACATGAGGCGGGTGCCGCTGATGTCCAGGATGTCAGCGGAGAGCAGCGTCATGTCGCGGAGGCTGGTGCAGCCAGACACGTTGAGGCGGTTCAGGTTGTGCAGCAGGGTGAGGTGCTCCAGGCGCGGGTTGTCCTCCAGCCCGACAGAGAGGATGCGCTTGTCCTGGCACAGCTCAATGCGCCGGTACGCCGTGTTGTGCAAGCCAACGTACTCCACTTCCTGGTCGAACAGGTCGCAGATCTGCGCAATGGGCGCGGTGCTCTCGCTCATGCCGGGCCAGCCCAGGTTGATGTGGCGCAGCCGCAGCTGCTGCTGGTACGCAAACAGCACAAACGCCGTGGACAGCTCGACATTGCGCAGGTCGAAGAAACGCAGGTTTGGCGGTGCCGTGTCGTGCTCCGCCTCCTCCGCGGTGAAGGCGAGCGTGCTGGTGGGCCGGGCCAGGTCCGAGGCGAGCTCAAGCCGCGTGAGCCTGCGCAGCGACAGCAGCGGCGTCATGTGGATGGTGGACATGCTGTGGTGAATGGCGCGCAGCGTGGTCAGGTTTGGCATGACGTGCGGGGGCGGCAGGACCTCAATCGGGTTGAAGGAGAGGTCGAGGATCTCCAGGGCGGGCAGCACGGTCAAGGGCGCGGTGCCACCGCCACCGCTGCCGCTGTTGCTGCTGCTGTCATCGTCATCGTCAGCAAAGGAGAGGCGCCTGATGTTGTTGTTGGCCAGGTAGAGCGACTGCAGCTGCGGCTTGTTGCGAAGCGCGGAGGCGGGAAGCGCGGAGAGCTTGTTGTGGCTGAGCGCGAGGAACACGAGCGCGGTGTTGGCCTCAAATGCGGTGGAGGGCACGGTGGCGATGTTGTTGTGGCCGAGGCCCAGGACGCTGAGCTTTGGTTGGTCGCTGAAGAGGCCAGCTGGCAGGGCCGTGATGTGGTTGCGGTTGATGTAAATGTTGGTGATGTTTCGCAGGCCCCGAAACATGTCTGGGTGCAGAGAGCGCACGCGGTTGCCGCTGATGCTGAAGTAGTCGAGGGCCGGCATGTTGTGCAAGAGGGCCCGCGGCAGTGCGGTGAGGCGCGCGTTGAAGAGAAGAAGGCGCTCCATGCGCGTGGTGGTCTGGAAGAAGGTGTCCGGCAGCGACGGCAGGAACGAGTCCACCACCTCAAACTGGCGCAGGTTCACCGTGTGCTGGAGCAGCCTGGGCGGCAGCGCGTTGATGACGTTGTCGCTGAGGATGAGGCGCTCCAGGCGGGTGAGGTCGCGGAACACGGGCTCCTCCAAGGTGCTGAGGTGGTTGTCCTCGAGGGTCAGGTCCCGCAGCATGGACAAGCCCTGCAGGGCGTCGGGGTGGATGGCGGTGATGTAGTTGAGCGAGAGCCAGAGGTGCTCCAGCGCCGTTGCATCGCGCAAAACGCCTGCCTCCAAGGATGTGATGTAGTTGTCTGTGAGGTTGAGCACGCGCAGGCTCGACATGCCTTGGAACAGGGCGGGCGGGAGGTGGAAGAGGGAGTTGTTGCGGGCGTCCAGCACCTCCAGCTTGTGCGCCCCCATGAACGGCGTGGCGTCCCTCGGCAAAGTTGTGGCGAGGCCGTTAATGTGGTTGCTGCCAATGTTGAGGACGCGAAGGTTTGGAAAATGGTTGAGGGTGTTGAGGGAGAAGGAGGTGGCGACGAGGCCGTCGATGCGCAGGGTCTCCACGCTGCTCCAGTCGGCGTTGTTCAGGACCCACTCCATGTCCGCGGAGAAGATGGTTCGCCGGAAGATGACGTCACGCGGCTGATACAGGGCGACGAGATCACGCAGGGCAGACGCAGCCGTCGCCGCGGGCGTGATGGTATCGCTTGCGGGGCGGTCTGGCGAGTTGAAGGCGAGGTTGAACGGACGTCCAGGTTCACGTGGGCTGTTGAGGCGGCATCGTCCAAGCAGCAACAAGCGAATGGTGCAGGAGAACTGGCGCAGCGAGGGGGCCGACGTCGTTGTCGTTGTCGTCGTCACCGCTGTTACTGTGGTTGCTGTTACTGTGGTTGCTGTGGCAGGCGCCGCCGATGAGGACGACTGCGTATCAGTGGTAATGGCGGCGGTGGTGGTGGTGGATGTCGCTGTGGTGGGGTCTGCTGCAGGTGAAAGTGTTGTTGTGGACGAGGAGTTTGTGTTGCGCCTCAGCCGCGCATGTATCGTCCTTTGCGGTTCTTGTGGGCCGCTGAAGCCGGCGTGGTGGTCGGTGGAGACGTCAACAACAGTTTCACCATCATCAGCAGCATCATCCGCGGCATCTACAGCAGCATCTACAGCAGCATCAGCAGCATCTACAGCAGCATCCGCGGCAGCATTTGCGATGTTGCCTGGCAGAGGGCACAAGGCGTGCACCGCGGTTTGGAGCTCATTTAAGTGTGGCTGCAAGGATGATGCCGAGCATAAGATCACTGGCTGCAACGCTTGAATGGCTTCCAGCGCTTGCAAGGCGCGTGCGCATGCGTCGTCCGTTGCTCCGTTGCGCTCCTGAGGTCCTGCTGACTGTACACCACCAGTGTTGAGGGTGGCGGCTGACGACGCAGGAAGAAGGAGCAGCAACAAGAGCACCATCGTTGCGCGTGTGGATGCAATCGGTGCAAATTGTCCCAAAACTTGCACCAATATTCGGCGGTGTTCGTGTGTTTGTGTGTGTGTTTGTGTGTGTGTGTGTGTGTGTGTGTGTGTGTGTGTGTGTGTGTGTGTGTGTGTGTGTGTGTGTGTGTGTGTGTGTGTGTGTGTGTGTGTGTGTGTGTGTGTGTGTGTGTGTGTGTGTGCGTGTGTGTGTCAGTCCCCTTCCCCACTCTCGTTTGATGCAAATAGCTCAGCGTTGTAAGGGTAATGTAACAATCACAAAAGCGCCAGAAGAGGAGGCGGCGACACAGATAACAACAGAGTCAGCTCAGCCTAGCTGCTAGCACGCCCCAAGCAAGCAAAAGGTGTTGCACGCAATGTAACAACTTTACCTGTAACACGTGAAGAACGGCTCACCCGTACAGATTCACACACGCACGTAACACACACACACACACACACACACACACACACACACACACACACACACACACA